CCCCCCAACCCTCACCCATTTTACCTGCTTTGCAAATGTAGAGTTTTCCATTTGGATTTTACTCACAGTTAAATATGTTTATATAATGCTTGTGTTACTGGACCCTGGGAACTTGGGTTATGGGTTTCTTTTATCTTTTTGCAAGAGGCAGCGTCAAATAGTGCTTAAGAACAGCAGACTCTGAAGCCAGACTTACTGGGCTTGTACCCAGGTCTACCACTTACTGCATGACTTGGGCAAGTTACTTACCATCTCTGTCCTTTGTCTTAAGATGGGGAAAATAATAGTACTCATCCTATAGGTTGTTATAATGGTTACTGGAAGAATCTCACAAATATTAAGTTATAGTGACACAGTAAGTTCTACATAAGGGTTAGTATTACAGCTATTACTATTAACCCAGTGACTTATGTGAGCATATCTAAAGTTATTTGGGCCATACTATAACCAACATCCGAGTATAGGTTTACAGAGCTTCTTTGACTTGTATCATTTAATATTACCCTCGCATCATTCTGTGAGTTGGGTACCACTGGGAATAATTCTCATTTTTATGAAAGTATGCACTTTTTGAAATCACATAGATTGCCTGTGGTGGGGCTGAGTCTAGAACACAGGTGTGAAACCCAAGGTGGGGGGCAGTCACTGGGCAAGAAGAGGAACCAAGATGCGGAGGAGTCAGCTGCCTGTGCCTGGCCCCGCAAGACCCTGTTCCCAGCTGCAGCGGAGGCTTAGGAAAGGAATTCCAGACCCCAAACCCAGCACTGGAAAATTTCTTCCCAGTTCTCCACTGCCTCACTTTCCGGCTGTACACCTTCTGTTCCACCTCCCATGGTTGTTCTCCCAGCCCTTTGTCCCTGAGGGCTCTGTTTTGACTTCAGCTTTGGTGCCCTATCCTGGTACACCTCACCTCTCCATCTCTTGGTTCATAGCTTATCTCACTCTTCTTCCTTAGGTTCATTTAGACTGGCCCGTAGTGCCTGGCCATGGCCTTGACCTCCTCTCCCAACACTCAGATCCCTTTTCTCTCTCTCTCTCTCTCTCTCTCTCTCAGGAGCATGTACATACTATCCCTGACTCTTCCCCTGTAGGGGTGGATGATTGGTCATGGTCTCAGCCATATCATGCCTAAATACCCAATCCCAAATAAGAGAACAACTGAGATGTTCCCTTAGGGGTGAGTGGAGGAGGGGCGATGAATGATATCATTTTAAATCATAGCTTATTTCCCCGTTTTCCATCTCCCTGTGCCCTTGAGCATGTGTATGGAGAGACAGCATGAGTTGTAGCATCAACGAGTAATACATGTAATACAGATGAGATGTGCTGAGTCAGAAAGCCTCACTAAGAATTTTTCATTTTTCAGTATTTAAAATTTTCCTTTTGTGTTAGGAAATGATGAGTCTTGTATCCCTAGAAATGCCATTTCTTAGGTTCTAGGTTTAAATATAGACTGTGCCATTTGCTGATAGTGTGACCTTTGACCCCAGTTTCCTTAGTTGTTATGTAGATGTGATAATAATTCTGAAGTGTGTGCCAATCAAAATGAGATATTATGTCATGTAGACTAGCTAGCATTAAAAATTCCTACAGTGGGATGAGGTCTGGTTGAAATCCTCCCGGTGGGTATATATGCTGCCCTGCAGAGGGAGGGTACGTCGCGGTTCCCTCATCTGGGAAACAGCTTTGGACCTGGGCAACTGGCCGTGACACCAGGAGACGCCCCTCCCCCCTTGTGCTCCAAACTTTCAAGGCAAGATGTTGCTTTGATCTTGGGCCCTAGCAGAAAATCTCCCTTGGCAAGCCCCGCCACGACAGCTGGGCTCCGCAATGGCAACTTTCTGTAGACAACCCTAAAAAAAGTCTAAGCGGCAAGTACTCCAGAGAAGACTTGATGAAAGAAACCAGGTGTGTGCTGAGAATCCAGCTGCAGAGAAGTGAAACTGTGCCAGAGAGCTTCACATTTTTAAAAAGGAAAAAAACCCACCCCAAACCAAACCCTTAGGAGAATCGCTGCAAGTGTCTGCACTGCGGTGGTCTTGATTAGCCATGAGCCCCAAGCTCCCTCCTCGGATTGCCTCTGGTTAATTTTCTATGCAATTTGACAAAAAGGAATTCTATCTCCGAGCCTGCAATCAGGCGAGGCAGGGCTGGGCATGTTCTTGCTCACCCAGGGGACCAAGAAACCAATTAAAACTCCCCTTTCATCCCCCAGAGGTGGAATCGACGGAACGATGAAGTTCTGATCCACAGCCTCCGCCGAGTAGGTGCTGGCGATTCCTGCCTGGTGTGGTTTGGGAAGACCGCCTGGCTCAGCCCCCGCGATCTTTTAGTGGGTAGTTGACAGGCTTAGGAAGATGGAGTGGCCTCTGCCACGCACAGCACCCTACGTGAAGCAGGCTCCGAAATCCAGAATTCCTGGGATTTATTGGCACAAGATGGCTGAAGCTTCTTGAAGCCTCTAGACTCTGCCCCAGAAACGATCAAAGTATTCGAATGAGTCCACATCTCCACTGCCCCCTGCTCAGGGGCTGATCCAGACTTTGGGGAGCGTGGAACTTACGTAATTTGGGGAGGCCCTCTTAAAGGGAAAGACTACGTAACTGTGAATGCAAAATTGGTATGAAGATGAATGTTATTTGGAATAAAAAATATATCAAAACAAATTAAAATTTAAGTTGAAAAATACTACAATTTAAAATTTTTTAAAAAGTGAATCTTTTTATGCTACACATGCCTATATAAAAACCTTTGTCCTATTTTTCCTGCAAACTTCCTTATAACTTTGTCATATAGTTAAATTTTATAGTATTTTATAGAGAGAGAATAAAAAGATAATTCCATATAATTGAAAATTAGTTGTATTCATAATAGTTTAGGGAGGCTTATTTCACTTTTACCACTCATTATTGATAATTTCACCACTAAAGTATTGGTAAAAATTTTAGAATGATTAAATATTGAAAAAACTTTCATACATTTTCTTCATGTAGGAGCTGTAAGATTTTGGGACATTTCAAGTTACGTTTGTGTGTGTGTGTATATACACTCAACAACTGAAATGTTCTTTGAATTGATAAACTCATTAGCATTTTATCATCAGTTTTGTGTTGGTCCTCACATGCTGTGTCAGCATGAATGTTACTGGAAGCTGTCCTACTGGTACTGTTGTAATAATCAGACACAGAAATGATGCAAACCACACAAACATATCCCGCTGAATCCTGATTAAATGCCACTTTTTCACAAGTTCCTTTTAGCCAGGCTCCTAGAATTTCCACAGGCACTCTAGTGTCACCCAACTCAAAGTGACATGTAGTGGAAGACACCCTAGTGAAGAAAGACCGTGATCTTAACCAATTGAGGTGTAAATAGCCTACTTTTGCAAACTTTACGTAATACGTGCCCATGTGATTCTATTCCTAGGCCTTTTTTTTCAGGGCTCTGGAAGGGACCTGTGCAAGCAAGGAGCCCTCATGTACAAGCTTATTAGCTCTGTGTGAATTTACGTTTGAAGACTCACTCAGTGTCTCCCTGGATAGTGGCATGCTCGGTTTCCCATCCATAGTCACTAAATGTTGAGAAATGACTGGGAGTTCAGGCCAACTCAGTTGCCCAATGTTTCTCAGCTTGAAAATCTTGCCAGTTTTCAGTTCATTCTTTCATGTTCCTACCTTCATACTGTAGATTAAAAAAAAAAAAAATAGATAAAGAAGTTTAAGGAGTTTGTCCCCAATAGGTTTTGGTTAGACTTTTCTATCATAGTGGGAAGGGCTTCCCCTAGGTTCCCTAGGGCCACTATCTACATATATAATTTGAATCTCCCCAAATCAATATGTCAGCACCATTTTGATAGCCAGCTTTCTTGCAATCCCACAAAAGAAAGACTGTCCTGGATGGCAGGCGTGATCACTTGGCTACGCCCCTGGAATTAGAGCCTGGTCGTGAGGCTTCAGGACAACCTAATAGGCATGAGTCCTCATGCTCCTTGGAGCATCTGATGGGTCCTATGTGTGGGGTAGAGGGCTGGAGCAAACCCTGAATGGGGAAACCAGGACTGGGACTAAGGCCCATGCAGGTCCAAGTCCAGGCATGGGGTACCCCAGCTGACACTATTGGCCCCTGAGGTGCCTCTGTCAGGGCCTAAGGAAAGTACTGGTAGAATAGTGACAGGACTTCTCCTTTCCCCTTCATCCCCCCTCTCCTCCTCCCCACCCCTCTCAGCTGTAGCAATGACTATGATTCATGCAAAGATAGACCTACTAGAAAAGCCACATTTTCCCTGAAATTGTTCACTGTCATTTTAATTGGTTTTATTTAAATGATTTTCTTAAAGAGAGTGACAACTGAACTTGAATTTAAAATATAGCAAGAGTGTTTTAGCTTCATTGATGAAAAACATCAATGTGTTGACTACTGACCGCTTACCCACTGTACTTCCAATCTGACCTTCCTGCCGGGACTTCTCTCTCAGGTCTTCTCCACATGCCCCGGTTCCCGTCACCCTCATCCCAGTGGTCCCCTATGGCCATTCCTGGATGTCACTTGGTAAAGATGTGAAGGGTTGACAGCATCAATGTCCTTTGTCTTATCTTGGTTAGGAAATGGGTAGACGCTGGCAAGTTGAAACCCACCGTGGATGAGTTTGCTCAGACCCTCTTTTGCTGGTGTCCCCTCTCGCCGTCTCTCCCTCTCGCCTCTGCCCTGCTCCTCCCAGGGAACAGCGCTTTTTCTTGCACCTGATGGTCATAGAGTATGGGCATGAAGATTGCTTGAAGGAACTTACTTTAGCGAATATAAGATTTAAAGAAAACGCGAGTGTTAGCTTTCTGAACGGCCCTGATGGGGAAGAGAATGCTTTGGTCTTTGTGACCCCAAACACTTAGATCGAATCAGTGGGTAGGGATTCAGGAGAGTCCATCCCAGAGGAAAGAAAAACTCTCATGGTTGTGAGACGCAGAACGAGGTACCTCGTGCTGACCCCTTGGCAGATATGTCAGAAATGGATTCAGGCACTGGTTGGATTTGGAGTTCATTCTTCTGTGACAAGTTGAAATGAAGTACCAGAAAATCTGGGTAACATCCCATGGTTAGGTAACATCCTGACAGCAAGGACGGCCCTTTTCTTTGGTGTTTACTTTCCTCTCATGCATCCAAGCAGACCTCCCTCCTGGAGACTGTACTGAGTCTATGGCTCTTTTGGGCTGCCTTTGTCCCTGTATCTTTAGCCCCTGTATGCTCTGCTGTCATTTCCTGTCAAGGACCCTGTTCTGTCTCCTGACATTGGCCAAGTCCTCATACCCACGGGCTCTTGGTATTCACGGCCTCCGTTCTGGCCCAAACCTTGCAGATCACCATCTTGCCGAGAGCTGAGCTCAGCTGGATGTGTCTCAGTTGAGGCGTTGCCGTGTGAGCTAGTCCTTCCCCATCCCTGTGAAACCCTGGGTCTGTGACTCTTTCCTTATATGGTTAGGGGGGTCTCGGTGTTTGCCTTGACTGGACAGTGGACCCCACTTCGGGGATGACTCATAGAATAATTTCACCACCGTTTCCCTCCTTGGTTTTTTCCATTTTTTTTCTTTCATAGAACATTAGACGCACAATGGAGTCTTAGGAAATGCATTTTGACCTGCTTGGCTTGGCTAAACCTGTCCTAACTTGCTCTGCTTGTCCTGTCCTGTTAGCTTTGTTCTCCTTTCCCCAAAATACAATGATTTTTATTTTTTTATTTTGTGCCACCAGTGAGGACACTGAACAATGCTTAGCTCCACCACAGACTCTTAGATCATAAGAGGGTGGCCAGTTCCTGTCTGTGTTTATGCCACTCCTGTATGTTTTATTGATATATTACCCCTTCTAGGGGAATTGATATATTTTTAATGAGACTTTTGAAAATAAGTCTTGCTTTCACTACTAGAAAAAAATTTAAGCTTTATGGATTTGCTTATTGTAAATTATTTTACTACATGGAATCTATCCTTCATCTTTTTTTAAAAAAACAGAACGATAGAGGAAAGGAAAGTGGGATAAAACAATTCAGTTCACTCATTCTCTCTCAAGTGATCTGAGCTCGGCCTACCTGTCCAGAGAAGGGCTGGTTTGCACACCCCACTAGCAGGAGTGGAACCCTAGCTGCGCCCGCCCCCGCAGCGCGCTGGCTTCACCCTCGCCGGGCCATCTCCGGGCGGCCGGGCTCATCAGCAGCTCGTCCTCCCCCGTCAGTTACGGCCTATTCTCCTTGCCGAGCCTTTTGTCTTCCTGGACCAAGATCCTTAACCTTTGTCACATCACGGACTTGGAGCGCCTGCTTGATCATCTGGCAGAAGCGACACCGGCTCTGGAATACCTCAGCCTGCTGGGGAACGTGGCGTGTCCCAATGAGCTGGTGAGCCTGGAGAAAGATGAGGAAGACTACAGGAGGTACAGGTGCGTGTCCGCGCTGCGCACGCCGGAGAGCGAACAGGGGCGCCTCTGGGGGTACATGCGACTGGGCGCATGGCAGATGCCTGGCGATACCAGTGGATTCCTCATGATGATGTTAAACTCTTCCTTCGGGTAACCGAGAGCCATTTCTTCTTTTATTGAGATCACGGGAGCCAAGAAACATGGAAAGCTGTTGGGTGGTCTGGTTCAGGGGTTGACAAACTCTTTTTGTAAAGGGCTGGAGGTCATATGGTCTCTGTTGCAACTGTTGTAGTGCAGAAGTAGCCATAAATCTATAAATGAGTGGGCATGGCTATGTTCTAACAAAATTTTATTTAAAAAAGACAGCAGGCCAGATTTGACTCTGTTTTGCCGACTTACACTCTGTGTTGGGGGGTCCCCGAGGTCTGTTTCAGTCACCTTTTGGAGAGAAGGCAGTTCCCACTGAAGTCTAGGGAGCTTACATAAAATCCCAAGAGGAAGTCTCACAAGGCCCATAACTTCGTTCCATAGAGCTTTGCCTCGGTGTCCACCGACCGTGTGCTTTTGTGGGGGTTTCTTTCTTTCCTCTGCTTCTACACCATCTGCTTTGCAACACCGGTCCAGACTCTGCTCTGTTTGGGAGTCTCCTCGATCTTACCAATTTCATAAGCTCGTTTTGTTTTCCTTCGTTTTGAATTCTGTATGCTCTCATCCTTGACTGTTGCTTGGTAGATATTTTTAATGATCTCCTCTGATGTGTCCACTCTGTTACGATACATGCTCTCATTAAACCCCCACCCGAGTCAGTGTGGGAAGGAGAAGGGCAGAAGGATGGAAATACAAAGCAGGTAAGGCTACTGGAAAATAAACCTGGAAAGTTTGGGGAAAGAGGATAATAATTTGAGAGGAATTTGTTCTTTTGAGACTCATGTAAAAATCTGTGGTGACCCATGAAGGAATATAGTTGGGGGCATTCATTTTGTATAAAGCAAAACTGTAAGAAATAATGAAGGCTGTTGAACATAGTATGTCTAAAAATACACATACACACACACACACACACAAGTAAAGCTATAGTAGGAGCTCAGTTGTATGTCATCATTGGGGAGAATTTTATACTTTAACTTCATTTTCTGGGTTACTCGATTAATTTCATAGGAGTCTTAGTCTGCTTGCTTTTAAACTATCTTTGAATAAAGCTCTAACCCTACTTTTAAAAAAATGTATTAAATCTTTCTCCATTATGAAGATTTTCATTTGAGGTGCGATACTGTCAGTTTGAATGTGAGTTCTGTTAGGAGAAATATGGTTAATGTCCAGCAGGTGAATAGTTTACACATTTCTAAGTCAAGCCTTTAAGTTGCTTAGTCACTTAGAACTTAATTTGCTTCTTTAAACTCTTATCATCTCTGAAGCATTTAACAGCCTGATTTCAGGTAGGAAGGGCTGGTTCAGACATATTTTATCTTCTTGCAGCAACTTATTTTTATGTCCTAGAAAGGTTGAGGAAATCCAAGGAAGTTCTCTCAATCAACATTTTTAGTAAGCCAAGCCTTGTTTGGGAAATTCTCAGTTGTTTTTCTGTTTTTTTTTCCCCTTTTTATTTCTGTGTTTGATTCTTTAAAATAGCCCAATAAATTTTATATATATACGTGTGTGTGTGTGTACACACACACGTGTATACATATGTATGGGTGTATGCACACACATTCAAACACATGTTCATTCATTCATTCATGGATCTACATGTGGATCAAACTGTAGGTGTGTGTTTTTTCTAGAATGAGAGAAGTAGAGTGAGAATAGTTTCTAATCTCACCTTATTTTATTCAGTCTCAAACAGAGAGAGGATTTCATGAGGTTGTAAAAGAAAAATAAAAGCTAACACTTTTTTTGTTGTTATTGTGACTGGTCACGTTGGCAAAAATACCAAGACCTAAGGAGTAAGGGGTCAAGCCAGATGATCTGATATGGAACCCAGTTTGCCAGTGGGATTTTTTAAATGGAGAGGCCAATCTAGGTGGGTGACCCTTAAACCAAGGTTATACTTCTGAATCATCCAAGGCATACTGATTCATTTATTTGGTAGCAAATGCAACAAAATAGTCAATAGGTGATTCTGATGCTCAGTTAAGAACGATTAGGCTAAGTAGCACTGTATTTAAAATTCCCGTTGGCACTAACATTCTGAGATACTCTGCTCCCGGGTAGTTACGGTTCTTCCTTTAGCATCTCACACTGTTTTATGCATTTAACCTTCTGTATTTCTCACTGCTTCATATATTTCCCCACTCAGAGAATGACTTCCTGTAGATAAGAACTGCATCTTCTTGCCCTTTGAAGCCTCATTAATACCTAAAGTAGGTATTAACACCTAAAGCAGGCCATGGAATAGGGGCTTGGTAATTTTGCTGGAGCTGGCTTGAAATTACCCTTCCTCTCATGAGCTGGGTACTTACAGACCGATGCAGGACCCTTAGAGCCCCTCAGATGCCCACTGCCTGTTTGGAGTCAGATCCATTTGGATGTCGATAAATGCAGTTAACAAGCAAGAGACTACCCTTCAGACTTAATCTAAGGGCTGGTTGGGGCATGATTCTTTAGGGAGGACTTGACTCTAGAGGGGCGATCCATCTCGTGGGCTGGGACAGGCACCCTCCGAGCACGCCCTCCCCCTTCCACATCTGCTCCCCTGTGCGGTGGGTGAGGATGGGGTCGGGAAGGCTGTTTGTTCCATATATGGCAAAGTTGCCAGGAGGAGCAGGATTCTAGAGGCCGCACACAGCCGAAATCTCATCCAGTCAAAATTATCTTCGAAAATTCAGAAGTCACCTACCACGGTGGGAGGTGCTCACACCCTGAGAGAAATGGGAATCGAGAGCGGAGGTGGGAATGTGTGCCCGTCCAGCGGCACGTTCACTGTGTGGCACCCGACTGCTGTGTGGCAGCGTGGGCCCATTCTGCAGGCGTCCTGAATTCGTTGTTCATCTCATTTTTTATTTCTAATTTGACAAGCATTCTTGCATTTGGATGAGACAAATGTGTATATGATCCAGTTCTGTTCTGTGGTCCATAAGCAGCCCCACCCTATTCATCCTGGAATTCCTGCTCCTTTATTCCCGAGAAATTTTGGGATTTCACAAGAAGACCTTTGCATGCAGATTCCTATGGCATTTGGGTTTCTTTCCGCTTGGTAAACGATCTTCCCGGCCCTTCATTCACAAAGCCTGAGGTCTGCCTGCCTTCTAGCTCTTACCGGAGCCTAATACTAGGGCCTCTATGTAAATTTATGTGACATTTTCACTAGAAAATTGCTTAAAAATGAATGATATTTCTACAGTTTACTGTTTTTCACTTTAAGTACGTTTTCTGACAATATGCCTTCTATTAATCATTTAAGCAATAGTAGGAGTCTTAAAGGAGTGTATTCAGAGGCAAGAGCCCATGGCTCATTTAGTGCTGTCTAAAAAAATGTCTTATTGATTGGCAGCCTCTGTGGGCATGTGATGTAATATTTATGTCACCCAGCCATACATCAAAACAGGTATGTCTGTTGTTTCATTTCCATGGGAAACGTTGATTTCAGAGAGGCCTGCCCAGCTTTCGGTCACGCTGTGGCCAACCACTGGGCCAGAAATGGGAAGTGACTACGTTCATGGAGTTGTTGGAAATGGCTTCACAGATGCTTCGGTGGCTGCAGATTCTCTCCTCCCCTCCCCCCACATCACCCCCTTTCCTTCCTCACTTACCCCCTGAGCACCAGGTTAGATTTTCTTGGCACACGTCCCCACGGTAAACTGGGCTCATTAAATCTGAATGTGAGCATGAACATATTACCAGGTTGCCGAGCAGCGCCCTGGTCCTGCTGGGGCAGGAGCAGAGCCATGCCCAGAGTTTCTCTTTGCCATTCATCATAGGCCACGGCTGAGAACTGCCCTTTGCCGTGTTATTACAGGAGCTCAGGCCTGCCCGAGCTTCGCTGTGTGTACACACTGTGCTATTTCGGGATGAATGCTGAATGGAGGGGAATGTGATAAGCGGTAGCCTTCGGGATTGGAGCAGGAAGAGAGTGGGCGAGGCAGAGCTGGGCTTGGGAGACCACCATCGTACCAAGAAACCACTTTGGGCCTCCTGTGGATTCAGCACTGGCCAATAAATGAATCGAGGGTGGAACCTGGGTGCCCAGAGTACTCTATTTCTTGTTCTCCACTGCAACTGTTTTCTTTCTTCTTACTGCAGGAAAGACAGTGACGTGAAAGTCAACAGTACACAAGTGCTAACTTCAGTTGTCAAATAAGGGAGTTGGGCTCAGAGTCTCTTAGCTCTAGTTCTATCCCCAAACCCTCTGGCATTCACTCTTTCCTGCCACTGCAATCTTTGGTTGGCCTCTCCTTCCTTGCTCCCAGGAGGTCCCTCTGTATTCCTTACAACATTAAATTATTTAAAGCTCGACACCCTTTCTTTGTTCCCTCTAAGGGAGCAGCCCTGGGGCCTGCCCAGTGTCTGCAGCACTCAGCCAAAGGGAAGGAGGGAGGGACCCTTGGCCATCTGTTGGCCATCCTGGGCTACCACCATTTCCCGCCGAGTAGGAGCTGTAAAACCTGTGGCTTACATAACCCAGCTAGCATTCTCCAGCCAATCTACAGTCTGGGCTTTGAAGATCACAAGAAAGCAAAGGTCACGACCCAGAGATCAAAGTGACAGAAGCCCACAGAGTAATTGCTGGTTACCCTCTGTAGAGGGCCTTGGTCTGTCCTGTGGGTGTATTGTTTGCACGGTGACTTCAAACATACTGCCCAAATCAGCTGGCTTTGCCAGTTGTCAGGCATTCATTAATGCTGTAGGTGAGCTCACCTCGGCTCATTAGAGAGAGATCATTGTCATCTCTCCGCGCATCTGGAGTTACTCCACGCAGTGTTTGTTTATTACTCTTTGGTCTTTATTGATTTTTCTCATAGTTCTCTTTTACCTGGAGGTGTGAGGGGGCAGTTATGTAAGGAAACTGGAGTAATATGAGCGGAGAATATGGATGGATTTATTGTAAATTAACTTTGAGGCACATAGAAGTCAAGCAAGCTAAAGCTTAAAAGAGGCTTAGGCATCATTTAGCTCGTTCCCTTCATTGCACAGATGGAGAAACCGAGGCTCAGGAAGGTGGTAAGGACGGAACCGAGATCGCACAGCAAGATAATCCCAGAGTCTGGGCTCTTTCCTTTGACCGGTTAGTCCCCAAGCTTTTTGCTATGAAGACCTCCCCTCTTTTTAAATTTTCTTCCCCATACTTTAAAGCTTTGCCTCTTAAGTAGACTGCGTTGAAGCCCTTGCTAACTTTTTAAAATTAGTCAGACTCATTTAGCTGTTGATCAGTGCTTTTGATTAGCATCAGGCGACCAGGATTACCAAACAGGGTTGATGTAATCCAGTCAGGAGCAAAGACGCTTGCTATTTTGTTGGCGAGCTCGCTCTATTCTTTTAAGCTTGTGAGAGGTTGAGAACGGTTCATGGGTCACCTGTTACTGCCGTCAGGAGCCCCCAGGAGGGCGTCAGTAGCTTGCACTGTCTCCCCCTCCCCATGCATGGGAGCAGGTAGGCAGCAAGAACTAGTGGGAAGATGCATAGAACGCCATAAATGGGAGGAAGAAGGAAAACCTGCAGTGACCCCCCCATTTCCCTCAGAATCTAGAAACTTGGTGTGTCGTGAGCAGAGTCTCCTTGGAGGAAGAAACACGCAGCCGAGCCCAGGAGCAGGCCGCGTGGGGGTGCGGGGAACAGTTCTGAGCGGGACAGAGGAGGAGCCTCCTCTCCCTTTGAAGTCCAGATGGAAAGTGCCAGAGCTTTGGGATTTGGGCAGAGAACATTGATTTTGGAGCAAGAAACAAGCAAACAAAGCCTTTCTGCTGTTCCTTGTGTTCCCCTACCGGTTTTGGGTGCCCCTTGGAGGAGCCCTTTACGAAGATGGAGCCTTCTGTGTGAAGACAGAGCCTGAAAACTCTGTGTAGGGGTCTCACCTTTAGAGAATCTGTTTGCAGACAGAGACATGAAGGTCTAAACACCATCCTTCCCAGGATCCCTGGCCTCTCCATTACCTCATCTTCCATATCACAGCCAAGAGCACCCCAACTTCCATCCCCCAGCCCTGGGACTGTCACCCAGCCACCTTGGGAAGGTCAGGAAAACCGGACTTGCCCTCTGGATCTAGGGACAGGAGACTCAGAGCCCAGATAGATCTCTTTTCATTAAGCAGTGTCCTGGCTTAACAAGCACTTTTATAAATCTGGAGCTGTCTCCGGGTGTCACGGGATTTATAGACGGGGGTTTCTGCCATAAAGTGGTTTATGATGGCTGCCTTCTGTGTTATTAGTAGCTGTCTCTCCCTTCAACCATCGCTGTTTGATAATAGCCTTAAAACACCCAGAATTACTTACCTGCAAGCCCCATTCCCGATAGCCCCTGTTGACAGTCTGAATAAGTTTACTGCCCTTTTGTTGTACTTTACCTTCAAAACAAACTGATTGAACCATCAATAGCTCGTGGAGGCTGACAGAGCTGTGTCATGTGGACTCGCCCTTGTGATTGCAGGTTATCTGGGGGAGTTAACCTCCCCGCATTGTTAACCGAAATGTTTTATGTACTATGCAACTTTAGGATACGGCTGTGATAACCTCAGTAACTAAGTCATACATCACGGTAAAGAGATTTTGGTGCAACAAATAACCCAGGATTAAATTTACAAGGGTGGAATTGATATTGTAAAAGCCTTCATTCCGTAGCTTTGGGAATCCTCTCGTATTTTTATGGCAAGCTTGTATTATGCTCAGGATTGAAGCTGCAGCTTTTGACACCCCAACATGACCAGAACAAAGGGCAATAGATCTCCCGAGACTGGGATGGGACAGGCAGGCAGAGAGCCCACTGACTTATCACTTGGCAGTGATGTTTGGAAGCTGTTCCAAACCACCAAGGGGCAGGGAGGTTGGGTGGATGTGGCCGCTGTCTGTGTCCTGTGTGCCGCAGACACGGGGCAGGGCAGGCCGCTCATAGAATTGGGAAGGAGACTCTTTGCTACCTGGCCAACCTCATAATTCCCCAACTATTATTTTTCATGGTGCCATTTTCACTTGGATGGTGGTTCTCAGTAGGACCAGCAGCATCAGCCTTGCCTGGGAACTTACTAGAGATGTAGATTCCAGGCCCCACTCCGCATGTAGTGAATCAGAAACTCCAGGGCTGGGGCTCTCCTGTCTGCCTTTCAACAAGCCCTCCAGGGGATGCTGACACCCCCTCAAGTCTGAGAACCCCTGTATTGCTATAGAAGCTCCTCGAGAGCAGGGACCTGGTCTGTCTTATGCACCCCTTATCCTCAGCACCTGGCACAGCTCCTGGAAGGTGGTAGCTGCTCCATAATTATTTGCTGGGTGAATAAATGTGTGAGTAAGTGAGCAATGACATCTCTAAGGGTGGAGCTTTGGACTCTGGACTGAGTCTCAGACCCAATATTTGGGGCAGGCTTTCCTAGAGTCCCTCAAATCTCTCTAAGCAGCAACTACTTGGCAACCCCAGGCCAGTCATCAGGATGGAAGTCAAGTCACCTCTAGTATCAGGGTGACAGGCAGCCTATTTTATAGGCTGTTTCTTTGATTGTATAGGAAGAGTGCTCTGAAAACAGCAGCTCTTTGTCATCTAAAAATTTTAACTAGCTTAAAAGCCAGCACCTCTCTCTCGCTCTCTCTCTCCTGATTTCAGGGCTGTGATCCAAAGTGGGGCGAGATGACAACGTGCTATCTGTTGTCACCGTGGTTCCTGCCAGCCCCATGAAGACATCTTTCATTCCATCATTAAACACCGGCTGAGTTTGTAATACTGATGTTTTCTTCACCTGAATATTCATCGCTTCCCACCCTACACTTAGTGGGTGTCTTTCCTCCTTCGAGCGTCACTCCTGACATATTGTTTCCGTCTGTACATGTCTTCATTTGAAAGAGTCTGTTGTCATCAAGACTCTGCTGCCACAGGCAGAAGACGGGAGTTTTCTCTGACACTGACAGAGGCCAGGGGAGCTCTCCTGAAGGACAGAGAGGTCATTTGGGCTCTTGGTGGAAGTGCTCTGCTTTTGGATAAGGTTAGGGGGCATTTGGAAAGGGCAGGGGGAGGCTCAGGGAGAAATAGGAAAAAGGTACTGGATCGAGGCCAGAGAGGAAGCAGGAAGGAGACAGTCAACTTTCCGGGACCTCAGATGTTGGGGTGCACAGTTCTGGGGAGGAAAGTTATGCCTCCAAAGAACTTCAGTGTATTTTGACTTCAAATGACCAATATGAAGGTTATAAGTAGAGGCCTCTAAGCCATTGTCTGTAGTGTAGAGGGATCACTGCCTTTCCTTTGGACAAGCAGCGGGGGTCACATGTGATGTGAGGTGGCCGTGTGAGTGTGGGAGCTGGCCTGGGGACCCAGGGCTCCCCTGGGAAGGGCAGTGCGCTGCTTCTCCGTGTGACACTTGCACTGAGAAGAAGCTAATATTTGGGTTGCTTTAGGGTTTGTTTCTTCGAAGCCTCCTTGAAATCTCCTCCTCGTCCTTCAGTGATTAGTTTTTATTCAGTGAGTATATTCGGTCCCTTTCTCATGCTCCCAAAACTACTGCTTAACCTCCACCTTGGTACTGAGCTCTGCTGATTTCTAATTTCTCTGTGCGAGTCTATCATCCCCATGGCACTGAAAACCCCTTTACGTATAGGGACCATGTTATAACCACCTCTGTATACCTAGGACCTGGCGCATAGTAGATGCTCAAGAAACATTCATGGAAGAGAAATGCACTGGTATTTTATTGAGTCAATTCTAACACTGTGTCCCAAGATGGCATGAGGGTGAACAAAAATAAAGGTTCCTGCCTTCAGGAAGCTTAGGGTTTTGGCGAGGACATCAGCTGGACGAATTTCCTGAATATGAGACAGACTGCATGAGCTTTGAGGTGGCCGCCCCCGTCCTGAGTCATCTCTGCCTGTCTGCTTCCAGGTGCTTTGTTCTGCACAAGCTGCCCAACTTAAAGTTTCTGGATGCCCGGAAAGTAACCAGAGAAGAACGAGAGGAAGCTATGGTCAGAGGGGCGTTCATGAAGGTGGTGAAGCCCAAGGTAAGCCGCCACTTCATGGTCTTCTCGAGGGACTTGGGTCTCACCACACCGGTTCTCCGGGAGCACGGAGAGTGTGTCCCCATGTGGTCAGAGTGCAGGGGGGCCTCACACCACGGTGTCGTCCAAACAGGAAGTAGGACTGGGTGTCAACTGGGTCTTTGCAGGCTAAGGGGACCTTACCTGTAAGGTGCTTTCACCCAGGTGGCTCTTTTACCAAGGGAGCAGTACCACGCACAGCCCAACGGTGATGTTCCAGGGGTAGGTGGGATTTCAGGCCTCTTTCTTGAAGGTGGTTCTTGGGGCCTCTGCAGGTCTGGAGCTGAGAAAGGAGGAAGAGGAAAGCACTGGGCACTTGCTCTTTCTCAGGTGGTTAGGACTCCTCTAGCACCTCTCAGGAGCCCTTCTTTCCTGGGACCAAAGGGGAGCCACGAGAGGGTGATTTCTCTGGTCCACAGGTGAGAACCCACCAGCTCTCAGAGATCTAGGCAGCAGGAAGGCAATTCTTTCCCAAAACTATGACCTGGGACTGGTGTGAGCTCCCTCCTGTAGCTCTCTCAAGTTCATGGGAATGATGTTCACAGATGTCCAGCGAAGTCTGCACTGAGGCCATGGAAGTGACTGTGGTGTCATCTCAATGACAGCATTGATGAGGCAGGGAGATGGCTTTCACACACACGGAGATTGTTAAGGATATCAACAACTATCTCATTAGGAGGAATGGGGGTCCTTCAGTGAAGCCCGAGGCTGGAGAATGGACCTGTTGACACTTAGTGACCCCTGTGGAGACCCATTCCTGCCCAGGGTTCTGTAGAGTGACATCACCATTTCCGAGGGGATCCTGGCTTCTGTGTTGAACACACTGGCCCAGAAATCCTGGAGGTCCAGTTTTCCCTCACTTACTGATTTGCAGGGCTCTGCATGTGCCCTGGTTGAGAGGGACAGAAGAAAACAAACAGACCCAAAACAGAAAAAGCCTCCTCTTGCGTCAAGTTGCTCAGCTGCTAGCAGACCACAGGCTGCTTTCTGTCCCTGAATCCACGAGGTGCACCTTGTTTCCCATTTGCTGCGTACAATCGCTAGCAGTTGTGCAAGTGTGGATGCGGAGGGTGTAATCCTGGCAGACAAATGTACAGTGACCTGTTTCAGCACATGGCAAGCTAACTGAGCGATTCGTTTCGTGGTTATTAAAGTGTTAACAGTTTTCCTTATCAGGGTAGGTTTGATGTATTGCTCATGGCTGCCTTCTGTTATTTCAGCTTTTGCGATTTTGTCCAAATGAAATAATTTATTTCTTGGCCTCCTTTTTTCTTTTCTTTCTTTTCTTTTATTATTATTTGTTTGTTTGCTAAAGGATTCCAGAGACAGCTGCATCACCAAACCAAGCAAAGTACAGCAAATGAGCTGTTTATACTGTCTTGGGTTCCTGCCCCCCTGCATTTCTCACCTTCCTGTGTGCAGGCACTGGAGAGACTAGATCAGTATTTCTTCCGCTGGCATTGTCTGTGACATGGGTGGCTCTATGTTGTCACTGGAAATCCGAAGGGGCACCAGATACCGGATTGGGGGCACCCCACCACTGTCTAGGGTTCCTTGTATACGGGTCTGTGCGCCCTCCCACGCCCCTGAGATGTAGAAGGAAGGGGCGTTGGCTTATTCTACAGATTAGTAACTCAGGCCTGGAGACGTGAACTGGGCTGCCCGAGTCTCCGGGCTAGTCATTGCTGGAGCTTTACCTGTGTGTCTGATGGCAGAGCCCACATTTTCCACTCTGATTTCTTACCCCTGGAGCAGCGACCTAAACCGTTTCCCGGTGCATCTCTCTGTTCAAACAAAACCTCATTGGAAGGTCCTAAATGGAGACAGCAGGAGAAGGCGGGACTGTGCTGTTGGAGTAGAGATGGCGGCAGGGACAGGGGAGGAGTGGAGCTGGGAGGTCTGAATCCTCCCTGTCTTTGAAAGCAAGTGGGAATGGCTCTTTAAAATCCGGTAATAGCTGGTTCTCTGAGTCATTAGCAACTTAGGCAGAAATGCTCTTCAAAGCTTCAAATTAGTTTCTGATCAATTATAGAATTAGCTCATGTTTGTGTGATTGACTCTAACATCTTTACTAACTGTGTTAAGCTTTAAAATTTTCATTAATTATTTGAGGAGAAGTAGAAGCTCTCCGACAAAGCTCAGGGACCTTCAGTGGTTATCTTTTTGTAGGGTCTCATGATTTCCAAACTGGAACGACTTCAGTAATCGTCGGGTATGAGGTCTCATTTAATGGGCGAAGGACCTGGGAGAGGATGGGGCTTTCCTAGGCCCAGAGTCCCATGAGGCAGCCTGGGGCCAGAACCCAGGATGTGGGGCCAGAACCTGGGATGTGGGGCCAGAACCCAGAGGTGTGGGGCCAGAACCCAAGAATGTGGGGCCAGAACCCAGAGATGTGGGGCCAGAACCTGGGATGTGGGGCCAGAACCCGGGGGTGTGGGGCTGGAACCCGGGGGTGTGGAGATGGAACCCAGAGATGTGGGGCCAGAACCCAGAGATGTGGGGCCAGAACCCGAGGATGTGGGGCCAGAATCCAGGGATGTGGGGCCAGAACCCCAGATGTGGGCTTCCAGTTAAGTGTTCTGTTTACACCATGACCCTTCAAGGGCGCTGGAGGATTTCTCTGGATCCCGCCTCTCATACCAAACTGTCTGCTGCTCTTGAGTAGCAGGCGATCCCTTTTGTCTGCTTGCAGACATACTCACGGGCACTTTTCTTGGGGATGGAGAGGCCGCATGAGCTCCTTGCTGAATTGGGAATGCTGAACCGGCTGGCTCTCGCTGGCTCACAGTGTATGCAGATGTGTTTGTTGCTGCGCAGGTGTGTGTACACGCTCTCCATCTCTGTGTGTACACATCTGCATGTCCTGGGAGGTCTGTGTGCGCCTGGCCCGCTCCTAAGTGGAGCCGGTTTCCTCCGTGGATGCCGCCGCTGTGCTGAGCGCCGGGCGAAGGCCTCTTTTTCATAACGGCGTCGGACTCTCAAGCTGGCTCCTGTCCTTCCCAGGGCAGCGGCGGCCTGTTGTGCTCATTCAGCAGAAGGCTCTGATGGATGATCTGGGGCCGTGACTTGGGGAGCTGTTTTCATTTTATTCCTGACATAAAGTGTTTGGGAGAATGGAAAATGCCTCTCCAATCACAGCCCATGCCGTGGAGGTAGGAACGGGCAGTGTGGGTGCTTGGCTGATGCAAATACAAAATCCTCCAGGATCTGATAATCCCCGATGCCCCGGAGGTTTGCTTCGGTACCTGGCGGGCCCTGGTGCTTGGGTGCGAGTTCTCTCTTGCATTCTCTCACGGTGACACAGCTCTCCTTCCTCGCTGCTCTTTGGCTTTTGCTCCTTAAAAGCTGCCTAATGTCTGAGCTCTGATTGTTCTGCAGAAAGATGCTGTCATTCATTAGGGAATGATAGCTAATGTTATAGTGGGCTCTTCTAGACTCATGTGTGTGTGTGTGTGTGTTGTTAGTTAATGGACTTACAACAGCTAGGCTTTGCTCATTTCCCAGAATTATAAAGAAAATATATATCTTTGTCAAATATTGGCCATTGAATCACGCCATTGTCCATGCAGAGAGCACCAGGCTGGACGTAGAGAAGGCTGAGGCCCCCCTGAGAAAGGCTTCTGTAATGACCAGCCTGTGACCCCCTCGCCGCACGGGGAAGCATAGATCAAAGTGGTGCAGGGGCCTGTCCAGGAGGGCGTGCGTGGCAGACACGCCGGCCCTGCACATCAGAGAGACGGTTCAAGAATCCGACAGTCAGAATTGCTTAATTATGTCCTGGCTTTGTAATTATTCATCCCTGTTCTGGCAAAGAGCACACTTGTCATTTCTTTGACATAATTATTTAAAGCTGAGCCCTCCTGTTTACAGGCACATGTATGAAGTTGGCTACCAACTATTTAATCTTCAGAACCTTATAGAAGCACCGGGAAGAGTCACCCCAGGGGCAGCTAGACTGAGAATCACAGCCTACGTTAGGAAGTGTTTTAACACTTGTATTTTTGCCTGTAACCATGGCCATTCTCTTATAGGTAAGGTATGGAAATAGGTGCGTTCATGAGTGCGGATGGGTCCTGGAGAATGCATCAGCATGTCTTACACAGGCAAGAGTGCGTTTCCTATCACGTGTAGTTTGTGTCGTTTTTCAGAGTTTGCATATTTGTGTGTGTGTATCTTTGGGTATTTGAGGGGAGGAGTACAGTGTGTCTGTAAGTGAGAGGAAGGGAATGAGGGAGGGCACTGTGATGCATTAAAGAAATAAACTTCTGAACGCCTGTACCTCTCATAAATATTTTCTGTTCTCCTCCTTAAACTGAAAGTTGAAAGCTATTTGGGTGCAAGGATCACCTGCTTCCATGACTACACTACTCAATCCTCTCTTGACACACAGAGTTGGGCCCTATGTTCCCTGGGTAACTTTAGTTTTTTCCATTTGTGTCCATGTTCATGGATTTCCACAAAAAGGCAACCTAAAGATGGAATAGAAGCATCCAGAAGCCAGGTGATCACCCACTGGGCTGGCAGCTCCGGGAGGGCAGGGGCTTCGTTCTTTACTGTCATATCTCCAGTGCCTGGTCTGTAGTAGAGACTCTGCCGAACTCCTCAGAAGAATATACCATAAACAGAACATACTAGAAGATCCATCAGGAACAGTGGTCCAGTTTTGGTTGTTACTGTTGCTGCCTCAATATGGTTCCCTGGAAAAGCAGAAAGGGGCCTTTTGCCTTAAGGAAATGCAATCATCTGAATCTGGGTGTTGGCAGAAAAGAGAGCTTCTGGGTCACATATTTGTTTTTCCAAAGGATTTACCTGGCATTTCTCATGACAGCAAAACCTCCAGCTGCCGTGATCACTGGGCCTCGGCTTCCTCAACGGGTGACACTGCCGGGGGAGGCCCGTGTGAGGCCTGAGAGGCCTGCCCCTGGCACTGCTCATGTTGTTCTCTGAGTCCCCCTCTCAGAAAC